CCGCCGGTTAGCCAACCCCTACCCCCTACTCGATCTCCTTCTCTTGGATGCCACAATCATGTGGAGCATGAACTCGACTTGTCGCAGTACCCGCCATAATTGAAGCAAGATCCAAGTGTGTGCGAGGATGGCACTAGAATAACAATACATCGGTCAAAGGGGCACGCAGACGGACGCAGTGCACACAGTGCGTGCAGGTTCAGTGGGAGTCAGAGCATGCATGCCACCATGCGTTGTAAAAGCCTCTCATTTCAAGCCGAAAGTTTCAGTTAGGGATCCATCACGCATCACATCCGTAGTAACATCCGTCCCTCCTCCTCGAACGCAACGCGACCGTGATTAGCCTCACTGTCGCGTGCCAGAGTGCACTTAAGCCTCTGATGATGCCTCTGTCACTGGATCATGAGGTGGATCGGTCGGTCCTTCGCTCGGCCTCTGTCAGAGGCAGTCGGCATCGTGAATCATCTTGTCTTGCAACGTTCTAGTACCAGTACTGATTAATCTGTTTGTGTGGATGACAGCGTCTTACCGACTGCAAGGAGGGGCTCCTTCAGACTTCAGATCCACCACACGTCAATGGCGCCATCAGCAAACTGAAGAAGAATGCAGAGCGAATGAAATCTTGTACGAGTATAAAACTCGTTTTGGTGCCTCCTTGCTAATTACTGCAAACATTGCAAAGGAGTGTGGTGGAGCTGTTGTTAATGGCCACGAGCAAGAGGCCCATGAAAAAGTTAAGTGGGCTTTGTTTATGGGCACCCTACGGCGTTTCGAATGTCATTCTTTTTTTTATTGAAACAAGGCAAAAGACTTGTCTCTTTCTTTCGAAACCAAACCGAGACAAAAGATTTGTCTTATATATTAATTAAAGAAGAATATAGAGTTTGAAATACACCTCATAACTGAAAAACAAAAGGTGTTACTATCCCAGTATGATGGTGCCCAAATTTTTTTGCCCCAGCGGTTACCCAGAGGATGGCATCGCACTTGATGTTGTTGAGCAATATTGTTGGAGGCATACTCTTTTGTTGAAATACCCAGGCGTTTTCTTTGATTCCAAATGGTCCATCCAATTAGCATGGCGAGGGAGGCCATGGCTTTTCGATTGGGGGTGCTCTTGCTTGATCTATTCACCCACCAATTCTTCATAGAGTTCTCAAGGTGCCAAGTAGATGTGTCAATATCTTCAAGATGTAGCCACACATTCATAGGCTGAGGGTGAAACGACATTTGACGAAGAGGTGTAGCCCGGATTCTTGTTCTCTTTTGCATAGGGGGCAAAGATGACGGTTTGACCATCCACGACGTGCCGGCCTATCCGTTGTCCAGATTCTATCTTGTATTGCGAGCCAAGCGAAGAACTTCACCTTCGGCGATGCCCAAGCCTTGCAAACCGTGTGATCCATAGGAGAGTATAAGGTTCACAGGAATTGTGCGGAGTAAGCCGTCGCCGCCGAGTATTGACCATCTGTGACATGCTTCCAAGCATATCTCATCTTCCGCCTGCTTCTCGAGCGGGAACGCCGAGATGGGCAACCGAAGTTCAACGAATTGACGAACGTGGGTCATGGAGAAGCTGGCGGTCATGTTGATTTTGTTGATCCAAGCTTCCTCCTTGAAGACTTGAAGTTTTCATTGATTAAGAGAGAAGTCACGGTCTTGCAGATATCCGTGCATCGGCCAACTTCCTGATAGTGTTTCTCTAGCAAGTTAACGGCGTGACATTTTCATTACTCCCTTCGTTTCACAACATAAGATGCTTAAATTTCCACGAAGATCAAACGTATGTACTATGTTTGACCAGGAATCAGTGATATAAATACCAGCGTCGACAATACAAAATGAATAAAATATGAAAATGCTTTTGATGAAGGATCTAATGATACAAATATGGTACACTATCATTGATGTTAATGTTTTTTCCCAAAAAAACTTCGACAAACATGCGCAAATTTGACTTATAAGAGCATCTCCAATAGCTTGTCTATATGGATGTCTATACTCGTTTTTCCATGACGTGACCTCAAAACAGGCGTCCAACAGCTTGCCTATATGGTCGTCTAAATATACACATCCTCTATATCGACCTCGACAATGTCCACGCCTGGACAATGTGAAGGCATTGTCTAAACTCAGCTGCAGTCATGATTTCTTCTTCTTCCCAGCGACGGCCCACATGTCATGGTCTCTGTATATAGACATTCTGATGCAAAATTGGACGTGTATATGAGAGTATTTTTTTAGACCATTGTCTATATGACTATATAGACATCTAAATATACACATGTTATTGGAGATGCTCTAATAAAAATGCTAATAGCACAGCTTATATTGTGGAACGGAGGAAGTACCCATCAAAGAAAAACAACACTGTACGTACCATTTTTCTTGTACAATAAAACAAAAGTGTGCTGCTGCCAGCTCCCAGTTTCCTGCTAGTTCAAATCCATTTTAGCCGTGTCAGAACCAACACGACGCGCACACATGGGGACGGACAGGGGTGATGGGATTTGAGTCGCCATGACTCTACGGAGTAGGCACATTCTGTGGACAAGCACAAAGGCGGGAAGGAGGACAATGGGTTGCTGCAGCTACTCGTATGCGTGGGATGGCTACTCTCTCACCGTCACGCCAGATCGGTCACTCCATCACACATGTACTCCTACGTACGTACGTACGTACCAGCAAGCCGTCTATGATCGACGACCACTCCCTTCCTCACCGCATGCGTTGTGCTCTGGGAATGTCCGTGCCGCTTCAGCAGTTAGGCCATGTGCCGCTGCACAATTGACGATTCAGCAGTCTTTTATTTCTTCTAGGGGAGGGATAATGTCATGATTCAAGAAAAAGACGAGCCAGATAAATGGCGGGCGCATTCGACGGCCAATTCCGATCACTTTTCACTCGTCTGCAGTACGCACGTACGTACGTACGTGCAGCACTGTTCCACGCTTTCTTTCTGTTGTTGCGCCCAGCCGGCCCCTGCCTCCCCGAAAACAACCACCAACCATTCAAATCCGCAAACCGGCAACGTCACGCACCCCCACAACCACACCACAATCACGCGTACAATATCATCATTCCATCTCATCTGGTCTCGCGACGTGCAGCTGTACCGCCAAGGACTCGCTCACCCGCTACAGTCCAAGGCCGGGTGAAAAGAAAGGGACCAAAAGCCAAACGGCCATGCAAAACAAGAGGCGAGAAAAAACAGAGGGGCGGTACACGAGTACGAGTAGGAGCGCCCCGCGGCAAAGCACCGGCGATAAAAAGCAGAGGCCTTTTTTCCAGCGGAGCAAAGTGGAGAGAAGAAGCGGCCAAAACAAACGTGATTTGGAGATGGGATGAAAGGACGGCATGACGCAAAACGAGATGAGATTTCGAAAGGTTGAACCAGAAAGTAACTCCGCGTTTGTTTAGGAGACGACCAGAAATCATGGTCCGGTTATTGGATCACTATACTGTGCCTGGGCGCATATTCCTTGTCTACATTTCGTGTAGGATAGATGCCCCTTCCAAGCATAGTGCCGCCACGAGCTGCCTGTAAAATGGCCATCATGTTATTGAGATTCCATGCATCATGGCGATATGGCACCCTGGTGCAGTGGAAAAACGAACCTTCCGCTGGAAGCATGGGGAATTAACCTTCCGCTAGAAGGAACCTCACACGGAAGAAAACCATTTCAATATTTTTTTTTCTTCTTCTTCCCCGAGCTCCACTAATACTAGTTCCTTCGTTAACAAATATAAGTAGTTGCATTTTTCTTTATAAATAGATGTATATAAAAACATTCCAGTTTGTTCAATCACTCATTTCAGTTCGTACAAAGGAAGGCCATATTAAAATATTCAAAATATCTTATAGTATTTGTGAACCTTGGACTAGAAGGGTGGAAAATAAATCTTCAACTAGAAGTAATCTGAAACGGAAGAAAATCATCTCAATTTTTCCCCGGAGCTCAACTAATATTTCTGTGCTCAGATATAGTCCCTCCATTCCTTTACTTAAGGTGTATACATTTTGGCATGGCGGCCAAGGCACATAATTATTCACAAGTTAAGACAAAATTAACTTTGGCTGAATCATTGATTGGTGGCAAGTAAATCATTTAACCTAGAAAAGTAAGAGATACACGCAATCGGGAGATATATACTTTCCCTTTTTTTTTCTTTACAAGCAAAGATACATACAATTGGGGGAGAGATACTTTCCTTTATCCTAGAGGTCTAAAAGCGAAATTTTATAGAATCAAAAGAAATGCAACTTATATTATGGAATTTTATCAAAAACAAAATACACCTTATATAAAGGAACGGAGGAAGTAATTCACAAGCCATGGAGCGGTAATAACAAGAAAATGAGAGTAGCAGACCAAGTTTATTTTGAAAGGATTAAAACGAGAAAGTACTAGTATATCACACAATTGAACCATGAACCCGGTGACCAAAATGCCCCCCAAAAAAATCACCCAACCAGGGCATGAATTTCGCTTTGACACGGAGAGTGGATGCCAGCCAGAGAGGAGATCCCCCCTCCCCTTGCTCAAACAAGGAACGCATCCAACCAACACTTGTACTAGTAGCATGGCACCGTGACGGCCAGACCCCCAACGAGTTGTAGGAGGCGTCGTCGCCATCATCGTCATCCGTTCTTCATCCCTTTCACACTATAAATAGCTCCCCCCAAAGGATGGATTCGTTGCACATTCCCTCTCCTCTCTCCACCCCCGCAGCTGCAACAAGACAAGCCACATCTACATACATCCCCATCCACCCCCGCCCTCACGCGCCACCACCACCACTGAACCAGAGAGAGGGAGGGAGGGCAGACAGGAAGACAGAATTGGCCTGCCAAGAAAACAAAAGAGAGATCAAACCAAACCAGACCAACCAAGAGGAGAATTGCCAAGAAACACACACACACAGAGAGAGAGAGAGAGAGAGAGAGAGAGAGTCGTCAAGAGGCAGTGAGAGAGAGCAAGGCGGGGAGGGAGGGGGAGATGGGGATGCGGGTGCCCGGGTGGGTTGGGGGCCTGGTGGAGGAGAGCTTCTTCGTGGGGTGCGAGGCGCACGAGAGCCGCAGGAAGAACGAGAAGAACATCTTCTGCCTCGCCTGCTGCACCAGCATCTGCCCGCACTGCGCCCCCGCCCACCGCCACCACCCACTCCTACAGGTCCGACTCCATACCTCATCGCTCTCGTTTCTTCATCCTCCGCCTTACCCGAACTCACGGTTAATCTTCTTTAATTGGTTGATTTTCTTGCTGCATGCATGCTTTTTTTGGGTACAATTGTTCTGATTTATTAGTTCCCTCTTCTTCTTCCGATTCGCATGTTTCTTGCAAAGTTTCTGCCCTCGATCTGCTTCCTTTGTCAGCAGGCTAGAAGAGATCATCAAAGGATCAGTGCTGCATGCCTCAGTTAATCTACCTTGTTTGGGCTTAATTAGTAGTAGCCGGACGAATTGGACTAAACTAATGAATCAATTAGCACAAGGTAGCCGCTACACAGACTAGATAGGCCAAGAGGAGGTGTGTCTATCTATCCATCGACCCATCCCAATTGCTTTTTGTTTTGTCCTGTGCTGTCTTTTCAAGAGCTGTTGTTTCCTCGCTTAGATTTGGCTTAAGCCCGGACGGACGGACGCGTGATGCCCTATTGCTATTGGCCACCATCTAGCTACTAGTGGTTGTCTAAGATAGTAGGAGTATTATTGAAGCTTAGAACTCCCCTCTCGTTTTGGAATTCCATGCTAATCTCTCCTGTACTTGCTCGGGTCCTTGTCCATGTCGTCTTGCGAGTTCTTGGTCATACGCCACTTTTCAGGGCCTCGAATTAGGATGGCGATTGCAACATGTAGTAGTACGTAGTATGTAACCATCACCTCACCTCACCTAATCTGCATAAAGCAACAGCCCCATAAATCGCAACTGCCTAGTTTAATTTAATCATGGCAGCTGCAGCTGGATGGATTCTCTGCCAAATTATTCTTCTTCGGTAAATTGATAGGGTAAAAATTAAATATAGTAGAAATGGCCTTTCTAATTTAAAAATAAATTCTGTTGCATGCGGTTTGCTTTGCTCCTCCTCTTGATCCTCTTGATCTCTTTTGCCTCAAGAGGAATGAATTTTCTTGTCCTCTTCCTGCCGGTTCCCAACCCCTTCCTTTTCATCGCAACTAATTTGGCCAGCTTCTGCCGGCATGGGTAGAACTCTGATGTGATGGGATGGAACCTGGTCGAAAATTTTGCGTGAATTTTCACCGCCCCCTTGGCCGTTCGCTGGAAATGGGTATAGTCCTACAATACACGGTGAATTCTCACCGCTGCGTCCATGCTCCTGCACTGCCGCCTTCCCCCCTCCCTTTGCTGGAAAGGGGCCTTTCCAAACTTGTGATTGTGCTCCCCTTTTCCACCTTACCCAAAATAATAATTTACTGCAACGTCACAGTCTCATTTCCACCATCGCCGCGCTCGATTCGACGCAAAAGCGATGTTGATGGCGGTGGTAAATTGCTCCCTTCCCAAGAAGATGTTTCTACCTTTCCGAGTGAGCCGATCATTAGCATCGTATATCTTTTGTGTAGAGTGATTGGATTACCTCATGCTTCTCGGCGATTTGCCATTTAAAGGCCGGTTTATCCAAACCGTTTTGCCATGCATGGAAGCGCATCCGATCCCTGCCCTGCCCTTGTGGTGGCGCTCTTCCGCATCTGCAAGGCAGGCAGGTGGGTGTGCATGGTAAGAATTGGGGCGTCTTAGGATTGTTACCGCGGGGGCAAACAAGATTTACCATATTGTGCGCCGTGGTAAATGGGCTCCTTGTCTTTTTTACCAAAGAAGGCCACAATGCTGTTCCTCCCTGCGACGGGGGGGCCTCCCTCGATACTGTTCATTCATGGCACAGTCAAGTGCTAGCCACCAAAAGGGCTCTCCTTCCCCCTCAGCTGCTGCTCATCTTTTACCATTCACCACCAACCCCTCCGGTTGAGTTTTTACCGTCGTGCCCTCTGGTCCGGCCACTGGTTTGGCCATACGCTCTGGTGGATGCTGTGCCCGGTAGGGGTGGTTGGTCATTGCACGCTGTGGGCTTGGGTAGGGTATGGGGGGCCTCCTTGCGACCACACGGTCAAAGCGTAGTCGTCCTCCATTGATGTGTTGCCCAATGGAGGAGCATCGGCATCAGTACCGCGACCTTATTACTACTGGCTTCTAGGATTGTTTTTAATCCCGGAACTGCCCTTCTCTGGCTAATCACCCGCACTACTCTACTACTTGCACGAATCTTGAAGCATAATAGGGCTGTTCTTCTGATCCCAGTGTTTTTTCTCATTTTTGCTGCATGTATGTGTATGTAATCAGGTGCGGCGATACGTGTACAATGACGTCGTCCGCCTGGGTGAGCTCGAGAAGCTCATCGACTGCTCCTATGTCCAGGTGGTTAACTTAATCACGTACTACATCTGTTAATTTACTTGAGCTAATGCACCAGTAGCAGTGTAGTACTCTCTGTAAAGAAATAGTATAACACTGTTTAGATCACTAAAATAGCCATTTAAATGCTTTTATATTTCTTTACGGAGGAAGTATTTGGCTTGATGATACTTCATACTGTATTGATTAACTGTATATGCTGTATTGATTAACTGTATATGCATGTGTGTCTCAGCCCTACACGATCAACAGCGCGAAGGTTATCTTCCTGAAGCCGAGGCCTCAGTCCAGGCCATTCAAGGGCTCCGGCAACTTCTGCCTCACATGTGACAGGATCCTCCAGGAGCCCTTCCACTTTTGCTGCCTCTCCTGCAAGGTCATTAATCAAATGCTTAAGTAGCACTAATCACTGCCTAATTGTCCCGTCGGAGATAAACAAATCTTTAGTAGCATTCCATGCTGAATCATCTACCTATGTGCGCGTGCGTGCGTGTGTCCGTGCAGGTGGACCATGTGGTGGAGCAGGGAGGGGACCTGTCCAATATCCTGCTGTATCGCGCCGGCGACGAGCTCCCTTTCCCGCGCTTCGAGAACCTCCACGTCGGCGACGGTGACTCGGGGCAGGTCACGTCCAACTCCATCCTTGAGAACCCGCTGCACCACCGCAACGGGTACGGTGGCGGCAGCGGCGGGTCCAGCGACAATGCCGGCAACGGCAACGGCAACGGCCATGGCGGCGGCGGCGAGCCGGCGGTGGTGAAGAGGAAGAAAGGGGGAGGGTTCTTCCCCAAGATGGTGCTGTCACTGGGCAGCAGGAGGAAGGGTGCACCCACCCGATCCCCCCTAGCCTGAGAACTCCCACGTTTGCATGCCCCGCCCCACCCCAACCCCCCCTATATATGTGTCACCATGCTGTTAATTAGTTCCCGTAGCTAGCCAGTGTTAGTCCCCTATTGGCGGTCGTAGCTGGAGCATTATATTAGTAGTGGTGTGTGTGCTATAGTCCTATGTAGAGTGTGTGTGCCTGGTTGGTTTGGGAGGGGCCTGATGGTGATCCATGGAGATGGAGGGCCACTTCTAGGAGCCGTAGCTAGGCGAGAAAGTGTTTTGGTGAGAAAAGAGACGAGAAGAGAAGAGAGGAAGAGAGAAGAATGGGGAAAGCGGTTCCCCCTGTTACATGGCCTAGGTAGGCACGGGTGCTTGTGCGGGGCCCACAATGCATGCAGGAGGGCAGGCATGCAGGCTCCCCACAAGGGTGCCTACCAATTTTGTATTATGATGTAACAGGGGCGTCCACACCCCCTAACCATATATACATCCCCCATATATATGTGTGAATTGTTCATGTTTTTGTACATCCATTGTGTTGTGTTCCCTCCACAGTTCTGGTGCTACCAGTACATCTCAAGCTGCTGCTGCTGCTGCCTTGTTTAAATTGCAAACAAATGGCTTGAAGTCCACTGGTTTTGGCTTGTTGAGTTTGAGAGCTGTTTGCTGCTGGTATGGTATGCATGCACGGTTCTATGAGGATGGTTGGTTGCTTTAATTCGGCCGGCATGTGATACTGATACACGGCCTCCGGCTCCCGTCCAAAGTCTTCGGTTAAGGTACTGGCGGGAAATGAGTGTCTCGCGGAATTGTGTTTGTTTTGTTTCTACTGTCATTGTGCTTTGCTTGCCACTTTAAAGAGTTGCCCCCGTCTAGTCCCATGTCGCCTACTCCTATCAGCCTCGCCTTGTCGCGACGAGCTCCGTCTAGGTCGACCACAGTCGGCAGATGAGCTGGCAGTCTAGGGCCAAGAGCCCAAGACCGACCAAAGAAATATGTTTGTCCCGCAAAAAGAAAATAAATGTTTGCCTTACCAAAGAAATTGCAATTTGGCAAGCTGGGCTAGAGTACTCCCTCCAGTACTTTTTAGTTCGCATAAGATTTGATAGTACATAAGATGTTCCTTTACACACGGCTCGGCGCCATGGCAATTTAGGAAGCTGGGCTAGTATGCAGGAGCCGTCAGCCGGCAACTCTCCACGTATTCCGAGGCGATCCCAACACACCATCGGGGAGCGCGGGCCCTGTCGGGGCGATCGAGAGGATCGCAGCCAAAACACCGGACAAAATCGCATAAATTATTGGCCGAGGGACGCATAACCACCCATTTGACTCTTGTCGCTGGCTGCTCTCGCCGCGGAAAATCGGATCTATCTCACTCTCACGCTGCTATGCCTCCGTACCTCGCAATCCATGCTGCTTTGCAACCTTGGCCTTCCGAATTTCACACACACAAACGAAAAGATAGACTCCCGTTACTGCTACTCCCTTCATTTCTTTTTAGTTCGCATATAAAGTTTGGTCAAAGTCAATCTTCATAGAGTTTGACTAATTTTTTATTAAAAAACATAAACATTCATAATATGAAATCAATATTATCAGATGCACCATGAAACGTATTTTTATACTATATAGTTTTAGCATTATAGATGTTCATATTTTTTTATATATATTTGGTCAAACTTTATGTAGTTTGACTTTGACCAAATTTTATATGCGGAGTAAAAGCAAACAGAGGGAGTAATTGATTGCCATAATTTTGAGGGCTTTTCTTTTTGCCATAATTTTGAGCTACATAGTCTTAAAGTAGCCGCGATCAAGATACGCGACTCCACTTGCCTCAGACTGCTCACAATGGGAAGTAACATAGAGTAGTAACTTGCCGATATTACTAGTCTATGTTACTAGCTTCATAGTGGGTAGTAACATATAAGTGATATTTTCTCCTTTCTAGTTTATAGGGTTTATCTCAAAATTTTAGTTTTTTTCATTTATAAGGCTCAATTTGGTTGTTCCCTATCACATGTTCAGACTTCAAGGTGCATTAAATCATTGCATGCAAGTATTAAGAGAAAACTGACCAATGCATGCACTTTATGCATGCATGCATTGCAATTAATGCATTCGTAAACATAATTTTTTAAGAAAAATAAAATCATTAATTGGGTGCTTTTGCAAACTAGAAAAAAAATTCCACCACTCATCATCTACCTTGGTTGGTGAGATTTTTGAATTGAGCCTTATAAACCGGAAAGGAGAGAGTATCAGAAAGAGTTCATTTATTAGGCTATGGATTCATTATGCCTTAAAATGTGTGATGTTACAGTAACTACTACTACCTCTCTCTCAGTTTACAGGGCGTGCGCGTACGCCTAGGTCGTTAATTTGATCAACCTAATACAAGTCATATATTACAAAAATATATCAACATAAACTTCGGAGTTTCTACTTTTAAAAGATATAATTTTTGTGTTATATAGTTTATATTAGGGTGTTAAAATTGGTAACCTAGGTATACGCGCAAGACTTGTAAACTGAAACGAAGGTAGTATCTAAGTTACCTCAAACCCCTCTCTTCTTATTAATTAGCTGCCATATAAGTAATTTTGTATTGAAACGTGTGATGCTACTAGTTAAGTTACTTCCATTGTAACTAGTCTCAGTGATCCGGAAGGAAGGAACGGCACGACGCATATCAGTTCAGCCGCGGTCGTCCAGGGCACTATGAATGCGTCCGTACAATGTGGAGCACGGGGTATGGTCGTTCCAGTTTGAACTTTCATGGCTTATCACTTCCCCATGTTGAACGGGTAAGTGTCACGGGTCTAATTGTTTCGTCATGTTTGAGCAATTGAGCTCCATCAACTTGAAAACATATGAATGGAAATATATGAGATTTACGTGACCTGGAATCAGTTCAAGTATAGGATAGTATTCAAGCCATGAAACTATTATAGAAAAAAATATGTAAAGACCTACGTGGGAAGTTTGGGCCTTTTCAAAATAGATTCTTTTCTTTTTTACAAGAAAACTTTCAATTTATTCATCTTCTATCATGACAATACAACGAACACTGAAAATAATAAAAATTACATCCAAATCTGTAGACCACCTAGCAACGACTACAATCACTGAAGCGAGCCGACGGCATGCCGCCGTCATCACCCCTCCCTCGCCGGAGTCGGACACAACTTATTGTAGTACACAGTCGGGAAGTCGTCGTGCTATTGGAGCTTGTGAAGATGAGTGATACCCGCGCGCTCCCATCTTCCGCCCGACTTGCACGTCGTGTTTCGTGATCGAGCCGAGCCAAGCTCAGTTCTATGTCATGTGTGCGCTTAATTTTTGCCAGTCAGGAACGATAATTAATTCTCAATTAATTACAAGTTTTTTTCCAAGATAATACTTGTATTACTCAAAACTATCCAGGGTTATAATCATGACCGGCAATGTCGAGGAGTTCATCAGGACCCGATCCAAGCCACACAACAGTTCGGCATGCGATCGTCCAAAATTTGCCAAAAAGTGACTAGCATTATTTTTGCTGCGCACAACATGAGTAATACAAGAATTACGCTCGATCAGACTAGCTTTGATCTCCTCTATTAGAAAAGCATATTTTGATCTATTCATGTCCCCAGTAAGAATCATCTTCACTGCTTCAAGGTTGTCTGATTCAACATCAACAAGCAAATTGCTCCATTGTAATGCTAGTGAGAGACCTTCTCGAATGCCCATGATCTCTGTCTCAAGCATATCATTACAAGAAAACAAATATCTACAGGAACTAAAAATGATATTGCCGACATGGTCTCTAAGAATCATACCTGTACCTGCTACTCCATTTAGCACAGATTCGTCGGTGTTCAGCTTTACCCTACCAGCCACAGGAGGAGCCCAAGGGCTGGGATCAAGCGGCAAGAGACGTCCACTAGTGGCGCAGGTTTATGATGAACTACCTCATTTTGGACATACCAAATACGCCAAAGTAGCATCATCAGTCTTAGCCGTACATGTTCATTCAAATCTGAAACTATCTGAACAAACCATTCTCTTCCTGTTGGCATTATTTTTGTAAAATCCGGAAGGTTCCATACAATCAACACTTCTCTCCATAGTCGCCTTGCATTAATGCATGAGCAAAAGGTGTGAAAAGAGTCTTCCTCTTCACAGTTGCAAATCGGACACATAGCACTTATCTCCAGGTTCCGTTTTTGTTTGTTCTTGCAAGTAGCTAATGAATCTGTTGCCAATCTCCATGCAAAATTCAGAACCTTTGGTGGAGCTAGAGTGGACCAGATGTGCTTCCATCCCACCCATGCTCCATCAGCATGTTCACTGGAAGTAGCGATTGAAGTATTGCTCACTCCATCCGACGCAAGTCGATAAGCACTGTGCACAGTAAAGATGCCAGGTTATTTATGGACGTGCCACGAATGAGATACCAGATCGTGGGCTGAAACAAAGAAGTTGATGTGTCTAGATTACGCACCAAAATGTTAAATGTCTTGTAACTCTGGGTAGCAATGTGTGGGATGCATGTAAAAAGAGTACATTGGAAAATTAAGTACATAACAATAAACTAACGGAGACGGTGGTGAGCCGATAAGTTTCACATAACAGGAAATGACACAAGTTTCGATGCACAGAACTTATCGGATGGTCTAAGTTCAGAAAGAGAACAATAGTAAGTTTCGTAGGATATATGTAACACCCATGATGCGGCAATATCTCCCACGTGTCGGGGCACGACTTAGAGGCATAACCGCATTGTAGGCAATGTCGCAAGAGGGGTAATCTTTACACATCCCATGTACTGAATAAGAAAGAGATACATAGTTGGCTTACAATCGCCACGTCACACAATAACATAATTATAGCATTACAATCATCCAGATACAATCACGGTCCGACTACGGAACCAAAATAAAGACAACCCCAAATGCATAAGATCCCCGATCGCCCCAACTGGGCTCCACTACTGATCGTCTGGAAAGAAAACGTAGTAACGTCCCGAGTCCTCA